CAGGGTAGTCATGGGTAGTTGAGAAGACAAATAGTAATGGTAAAAATAAGGAATAAGGGGCTAGTTTCTCTATCACAATAGCTTGTTTCAGATGAAGCGATATCGCTGGCAGGGTGAGCATATACCTTTGTTGGGGTGTGTGCATAGTTGTGCAGGCATATGTGGACGCACTTTTTATTACAAAAGTGGAATATAAACCGGTGTTTTAATATGTGGATCCAGTTTCCAAAGTGATGCGGAGTCTGTGTTTATATTGATTGATGCGGGGGTATTTTGTGTAAGGGAAATGAAGCATATATTTGGCTTTTTGTTTGGACTTATTTTATACTGGCGGATTGGCGTGCATACCTCTGTTGTTATGCGTGGATTCACTTAGTGTTAATGAAGTAAATTTCATACGCATATTGACATATTGAAATGCAATTGTGTATCACTGAAGTGGAGCATAGACCTATGCTTGAGTGTGTGGGTGTATTTTGCATTTGCAGGATGGAGTATATCCCTATGTTGCTCTAGTTTGGTGTATTTTTACTTGGTGGAATGGGATATGGATGTGTGTGTGTGTGTGTTCTTCTTTCTCTACCGACTACCATGCATGTGGTGTTTCGTTTCAGTTCTGGCCCAGCTACCACCTCCAACAACACAATGTGATGACAGATTTCCCTCTCTCATCGCTGAAGTAAATCGATTAGGATGATGTCTGCGTTGTGACGCAGGTGAGAAGACACTTAGTACAAAACGTGCATCTACGTCCGTTGTAGCGCTATGCAAATTTATTTGTCATTTGGATCCCCTCACCTCTGTTGATGATCGACCTCTGTTCGTGAGACTCTACACCCTCCCTTTTGTTTGTGATGCCTCCTTTTGTTGAGACCGTGTATTTTGTGAATGCGTGCTGTTTCAATATTTTATGCTACGTAGCATAGCTTCTCCTTCACATCACGAGCTGTTTCGCGTTCTTTTGTAGCGGTAAAGTTGTAACCGCACCCAATCGTGATCCCGTCAAGGTGGTCTGTTAGATCTCGACCCGAGAAGTCAAAATGTAGAGTAGCACGAGGAAGCGCACAACTTTCGTGGGTGGGAAGGGTATGATTCACACTGTCAGCGGAGTTCGGCACGACCCCTGTAGTAGGACCTGCGGATGAAGAAGGTCGGTTGAAAATATCACTGCAATACTGACTTGCATTGGATCTATTGAGTGCCTGAGCGCCAAACTGGCGGAAAAGTGAATACGGGTGGGCGAAGTGTTGTCTTCAAAGTGGACAATGAGGCGTGGTATAGTGTCTCCTGTAAGGTGCAATTGATATGTTCTTACGAGGGTGGACTAGGTACGTATTCTCACTACCAAAACATTGGGACCGCTCTTCGATGACGACTCTACAAGAGAGTACTCGATCTGTGGACTGAGCACGCCTGTTTCTCTTTTGTTTACATTTAGATAACAGTTTCACACCTCCTAGGGTTATCACGCATGCGCAAAAAGTTTATTCGGCTAGTTGAACCCAGTCCTGGTGTGATTACAACACCGCCTATCCATCCAACTAACCTGGTGTCTTGGGCGACTCACGATGGAGGGAATGACGGCACGAGGCGCATCGTCGCCAGCACAGCCTGCTTTGCACACGCTAGAGCTGATGTCCATCACCAAGGCTATGGTGTCTGTCCGCCACCAAGACACTAGCGAGATTGAAGGCTGTGTCGTGTCCATCACTTCGACGAGAATGTATGCTTGCAAGTACGCAATTCCATCGTTGTTGTCTTACGTGACGAGGTGTTTTATCTGAGCACCTCGGTAGTGAATGAATAAATCAATCACAAGGGACTGTCGATCAGAAAAGGCGGTTGATATGATGAACGCACACGGTAAGGAGAGTGTCACGCAGTTCATAGTTGACAGTGTGTGTTGTGTATTCAGTCTAAGCTTTAGCGTGTTGCGTTGCGCAGCAGAGGAAATGCATTGAAGAAAGCCCTGCGTGAGGCCTCTACCTTGGGCTAGAAGCTGGATGTTGATGAAGAGGCTGCATCGATCATGTTGCAGTTGTTGGCGGAATCAGCACACGCATTCATTTGTAAGTCCACTCCCGACCGTGTCCTCCCATGTAGGTCATTTGGCCGCATACCTTCGCCGACGATTCGCCCTGTGTGCTTCACATGTGCGCCGTTCTTCCAGTTCTTGCGTAAGGAATGGTAGTGCTCTGGAGCACTCCCAGTGACTGAGTAGCGAGTGCAAGCAGTATCCTCATGAAGGGATCACTTGACATAGTCATGTGTGGAGTGCGTTGTTCACTCGATTGATGGTTGAATTGGCGACTGGGTAATGACATCGTCGCCAGGGCCAACTGGCATGGCCAGCGACCAATTGAGGCTGACAGCGGGTGTCTGATGTTGCTATTTGTGGTGGCGAGAATCAGAAGGATTTCCGGCTGACATTGCCGTAGAAGGCGCATGCAAACACCATGAAGCTAATGAAAGCGCATGATAGCACACTGAAGGGTAAATACTGCCGTTTGCAGCACTATCGGCTTGATTTTGAGGAGTCATTAGGGCTGCCATTGGATTACATTTTCGTCTGACATAGGAGTTGGTTGTGATGGGCGTACGCACTGTGGTTGGCGCATTGAAGGAGCGTTTGGTGATGCCCAATGAAGTTATGCATCACTAGTCCTGGTCTGCTTGTGCTCGATCCAGTATTCATTCTTGTGTTTAATCATCCTGTCCCTGCTCATTCGCACTCTCCCTCGCTTCCTCCTCTACTCACATTCATACGTCCCACTGAATTTGACGATGTTGCTGATCAATGTGCTCTCCTGTCTATCGCAGAAATAATGTTAAATGGTGGTAAGTGATTGCGATAATTTATTCTCAACCTTCATCGCAATAGCGGTGGCCGTAAGTGAAAAGTCACCAATCCATATCTGTCATCTTACAGGAGATGCTCTTGTTCAGTTGCATGAAGGAGGCGTCCCCGGCAAGACAGATGGTTTTGGAGGTAAATCCATTGTAGAGATTGCGGTCAGCATTGATGGGGGTTATCGCACAGCCCATCGCATATCATTTATTGGAGATGTGGTGTTTTGAATATTTAAACCCACCTATGAACCACTCGAAGGCAAGTACATCACAGCCTGAAAGACTTCCCCGTCTTCATAATGCAAGCATCACCCGTCGTCGTTGGCGACACCTCCATCAGCTGGGAGGGAAATTTCGTGGGAGTTGGCAACACGAGTTTGAAATGCTTCGCAATAGTGGATGGTGATGTGATTCGAGAATATCAACTTGTTGTTCACTCAACATCTGATCACGTGCAACATCGTTAGTCGCAACTTTGCATTGCGAAGATTGCTACCATGTCGAGTGCAAGGACGATTGCAATCCTCCGGTCTTCTTTTGATTGCAATCGTGGATTTGGAAAGACAGAGACAGTTCTTTACAAGTGCCTGAAACCGCTTCAACAGCGTAGGGGACGGGATATTGGCGACGCGTGGACGAGGCATGGACTATTGTAATGGCTTTGACGGCTACCGAATTGGGAGCTGTCGCCATCGAACGCAATGCCTGCCGTGGTCAGCTGAGCAGTCATCAGATATGCGTTCGTCCTGATGAAGCTCGAATCTCCTGCCTGTGTTCAGTTGTGAACCAGTCCGTAGTAAATGGATGATAGGGGAAATTCTGCAGTTTTGAAGGAATTGTCACATTCGTGCAGAGTTCAATGCAGCAGTGTCATAGTCACCTCGTTTGGTGACACGAGAACATGTTCCCTCATTCCATCTTTACCGAACATCTCACTCACCCATCGAACACTCCGTGCTCCTCATGGAGGATCCACTTAACCCTAAAGCCAGTCGCAAGAGGAGGAAGTTGCAGCACTGCTTAATTTGCATGCATGTGCGACAGAGCGCAGGTGGGAGAGTTGATTGGCTCAGGTGCTTGGAGGAATTCGGACCGGAATCTATCCACTCGACGCAACTCGATGCAACGAGCGCAAGAGAATTTGCACGTCAAATGATGGCGATCAGTGAATAAACCAGTGAAAATAATTTTCTAATCTAAATCCCAAAGAATACCAAAGCATCTGGCACTACCTCTGATTTAGTAGTGAAGAATTGGACATTGAGTTTGGGAGAGTGCGAGAGAGACAGCGGGAGGAGGCTCACACCCTTCAATCTGACATCTTACTCCGCGGCTGTGTGAGCGAATGAGCGCTCTGACACCGTGTCTAAGTAAATGCGGGTAGATGTTCGTCGGTCGGAAACGTGCAGTCTCGTTGGGAAGAGAAGTTGGTAATCACGACGTGGCGTTGCAGATATTCGCTCACTTACTTATTCACTTACGAACCGAGCACTAGGATTGTCTACCCTCTTAGCCCTATAGACGCCTCACTCAATCCTAACAACAATCGCGGGGAGTTGACACGTACTATCTCATCTCATCGCCGTCTAATTAAACCAGTTGAATGTGCTATGGTGCAGCTATTTGATGAGGGATGGGAGTTTTGCCGTGAAGTTGGCACAAATTTGGGAGATGTTAAGGGGGAAGGGAAAGCGAAAGGAAAAGAGAAAGAGGACGGCACTTGGGACAGTGAAGTGCCTTTCCATGACAGCCCTGTCTGGCGTGCATAGTAGACTTGATCTATGCGTTAGTATGTGTGGAATTTTATTTCAATATTAAAATGATCTACATACCTTTGTTGCTATGTATTTACGCTATTTTGTCATAGTCTCCATGAACATGTTTTAATATGTATGTGTGTTTGCATCATTCAGGTTGCCAATCCAGCCAAGTGTGTATTTTTTATTGCATTTCCGTAGCATTGGAATTGACTTGACGTAATCGTAGCTTAAATTTTCCACATCATTTAGCACTTCATCAGTCAAACTTCCACTCGATTATGCCACTTGTTCACAATAGATTGTACTGTAGTCGGTATCAGAAGAATTGTAGTATTGGGACAACACATTCTGTTTTAATTCCTTGTTGGTGAGAATTGATGGCAATTCTACGAGGCAACATGAAATAAAAGGCACACTTCAGACAATGTGTTTGTGTAGTAACAGACCAAACGTTTTGCAGTTCAGATTATTTTTTAACCGACTTGCCCGTAAGTTCAAAACGCGATTTCAGGCAGAAACATTTGATTGGAACCGAGAGTGTACTATCTTACTAGAATGGTACTCTGCTACAAAATACCAACATCAACAAAACAAGTCCAGTCACTCAATCATGCACGTTGCGTGATTGTAATGGCTGACATAAGACTTTGTTAGCAGGTGACTGGCGCCAGGCAGGGTAGTTCATCAAACAGCTCTGTTCTGATTCCATTTTAATTTTTTACTATACTTTCAAGTTCAGAAAGCTGATGCAGCATAGGACCGTAGGAAGTTGAATGTTCTTGTTTCTCCGCATCAAAGATGCACTTTTGATTAAAGTGAGCAATGCAGCAAAGATTTTCGTGACCTAAGAAAACTGTCCCTAGATGCTTCGGGGAATTATAAACTGAGCTGTATCACATCATATTAGGTTATTAGCTAGTCCGAGATGAAAAACTCGCTATGGCAAGTATGACATCCTAATTCCAGGCCTCATCATCATGTTTCTTCATGATTAGACGAGTATAACTTACGTCTGCAGAAAGTTGTGACGAGCTCTTGACACCAACCACCGTAAATGTAAGATAACAACATTCTAAAGGCACTCAATGGCACTTACGAGGGCGCGCCATTTTTCCTTAAGAAGGGGTTCTTGTTAGAAGAACTTGCAGGGAAGTGCTAATTAAACAAACGAGCATTATGAATGTTGGACAGAGATGCCAGAGTAGACAGGAAAGGGCATGGAACCAAATAAGGAATTCATGAAACCATGGGCGATTGCGTGGCTACCGCCTGATGAACGCCGGTAGGTTCCTGTTAAGTATCACTTGTTCCCTGTGAATCACATCCAGGTGTTCGCTAACAACCGATTCGTTTTGTCCTATGTGTAACTGGACAAATTTGCAGAGCCATCGCTTTAATGTTTGATACCGCCCGTTTGTCGCTTCGTGCCATAGGGCTTACGCCCACGTCAGTTACATTCCGTTCACCTCTTAATGGACTTTATAATGGTGCTGCCTCCACCATCAGCAGTTGATGCGATCTCATGTTTACATACACCCACAACACTCTTGCATTAGAGGTTTCTCATATCACTGGCAATTAAATGTGTTTACTGTTTATACTAAAGCAAACAAATTGGAGTATTTTTAATTCTCTCAACAAAATTTGGCTTTTAAAATGAGCATAAATTTAATGCATAATACCAATGCAACTCAATGTACTCAGTCTCAAAATCCAAAGTCCTTCAACCTCCGTCACAATGCATTTTGCCTGCATTGCGTCAGTCGTGTTTATCAGTTGGATAATAATATGAATTCACATTGAGCATACACGAATGCGGTTATCAGCAGCATCTGCTAACGTCGTACTAAAGGCATTTGTATAACACATGCCATTTCGTAATGTATGGCATGGCCTAGTGCTTGTAGGGATGCATGCAATAGTAAGCGAATTCTTATCCCCGGACAAATTTTATTCGGTTCCGACCGTGCAAAGCACAGCTTTGATAAAAACCTTCGACTTCTCTAGTGTGACAATTTATGCACCCTAACCTTAGTGAATAGAAGACGACACAACATTCCTGAATTGATTGAAAGGCCTGCCCATGAACCAACACTGAAAATGAGGAGTAAATTGTTGGAATTTATTGCTTCTTGTATTGCCCCATTGCATCTAGAAGGTACTCAATAAATGTACAGACGATCAATTGAAGTTAACACTCTTGTGATATTTTCTTTAAAAGCATGTCCGTTCTTCCCCCATCACTCAGCAAAATGAATTGCATACTATGACGTTGGAGAATTAGGTGTACGATATCCTCTTTTCCGGGAAGGACTGCCTCAATTCCGCATTACCAAATGCCAACAGTGTGTTATCGTCTTAAAGATATGCATTTGTCGCTTCCATAGATTCCCGTAACCTACTAAGAAGCGCAATCGACCGATTTCTCTTTTGGCGTCGCATCACCCAACCACTCAAAATGCCTCCTATTTTGGCAACGTTTGCCCCTGACCACATGACCTGATGGAGACACGCATGCTGCACTTAAAATGGTGGTTCACATGAACATGGCACAGATTGCTCGCACCTTGCGCATGATCTATCAAGTGAACAACTACCACTGCATCCATTCTAACCGTCGCGTGTTGTTCCACTTCCAGGGGGTAATTGAGGATGTTACGAGGTGTCTTAGAGCACGCGGAATCGGTGCCACTGGGAAAATGGGTTGCATTAAACTAAGTTGGAGTGTAGGTCCCGACACCGCGGTTAATTTTTCGGCACAGGCGTTGTAAATGGATTCAAAGCGGAACGACCCCCCTAATGTCTTGGGTCAGAGATTCCCTCCTGAAAGCCAACATACTATTGTCTTTAGCTCTGAGGATTCGCAATGGATCCATCCTCGGTGAGGTCGTTTTGACTAAAGTACAGAATAGTACAAGGTAAAGCATTAAAACTCCTCAAGTCATTTTGGTCTTTCAACTTCATGTCACCATGTCATCATAAAGAGTTATGTTTGATCAACTAATAAATGATGATCCCGTAACGTAGTCGCAGTTTTGTTGTTCTACGTAAAGCCACTTGTTTCAGACTGTCGATGTCTTTTAAAGTCGTATTGCTGCGGTCCTCATCGATGTTCAAAGCAAATAAACTTGTACAGTACATGTAAAACCTTCCAAATTCCGAGGCCTCATTCGCTACTTTAGCACTCGCTGTATGCACATTATATTTCAGGCACGTCTTTTGAGACCATCGCAAAATCAATGCTTGTGTGGTATCATCTTGAAATGAAGAATAACCTTTATTTTTGTTGAAACGCCATAATCTAGCTTGTAAACTAAAGCGCCTTATTACAGGTAGGCAGAGAAAATGGAGATCTTGGACTAAATAATCGTTACTAAATAGTGCCAAGCGTGTGGTAAAAATGCACGTGCAAAATTGCAACAAATTTTACTAGTCTATGGGTTATGTAAATCAGTGAACGTTATAAACAAGTGGACTTAATATTCACGATGTCGTGTAAAATGAAGAAAGGCAGTAAGATGCGGCGATGCAATTGTGCTTGACTTGCATGAACAACTAGCCTTTAAGCCCATTTAGTGACAACTCACAGCCATTTACGAATACCAGACTAGAAGTTAGAACTTTGCTAATATTTGGATGAGAAACTCCAAAAATGCTCAACTTTGTTTGGCACTCATTTTCGGTAAGCCCTCCAAGGTGGCAAGGCTTTTAGGCTTGTCTTGCTGGAACTGTTATCTGCTGACGCCTGCAACATTCGCTCCTTCATTTGCATCATTGAACCCTCAAGTTGTGCTGTCCCTTGTTATGCTTTCTACATCCCACCTCTTATTTTGTGCCCTTCTGATATGATTTCCCGGTTAAAGTCGATATGCGTCAAGCTCCAACCAGGTTCTCAAGACTCAAACGCTTCTCATTTAATTTAAGTAGCAATTGAGATGACGCAGTGGTAGGATTTTACAACCATGAGGACTATTAGGATGTCTTAATTTGCCATGTAGCGCACTTGAAAAGACCCTCTTATTTGATGATATCGACGAATCAGGGGTTATAACTGACAGTCAAACTCGAGATTGAAGCATGTGTAACTATCAGCAACACTATGCGTGGACAACGATGCTACTTGTATGCGCCAAAAGCAAATGAATTTAACAAACATTAGTAGACTATTTTAAGCTCTGCATACTGTCACTTTGTGCTTTACATCACCCATTCATTGTCAGATGTTGTGACGATCGCCAAACCGTCTCTCCTGTAATAAAGCACCGCTTCAATCCAACACTAAACAAATGTTAGCATTGAAGATACTTTCGCTTTAGTTTTGTTGACCCAGAATCATTGCTTTACTCCTTTGGATCAAGTGATACTTATGCATTTATTTCAGCTTATAAGAAGACCTTTTTAGTGTAATAATCATGCAAAAGCACGTCATCATTTTAGTGAGCGGGACCGTTTAAATATTCGTGCCGATTTGTTTGATTTTAATGTCTCGTGGATTTGCGAATAAAATAGAAAAGTGACTGCGATGCAGGAAAGACCAAGAGAATGATGTGATTCTTCAGCACCCCTGGGCAATGGTTAGTTTGGCCTGCTGTTCGATTCGGCTAGGGCCAACTTCATTCAGGACTGTCGCATGGCAAAACAAATTCGCAGGGTCGAATAAGTGTGCCACGCTTTATCCCGCGAACCTCCCCTTTCCTTAGTTATACGATAATGAGTGCAAATGAATAAAGTCTTTTACGGTCGAACAAACAATTCAACACTTTCAGTGCATGGTAATGGAATACTGTTGAAATTATGCATTGCATGGGTAGGCAAGAACACCAGTTTTTCGCCTTTTAGTGAACTTTCACTAACTACCTGGTCAAAATTTGGCATGCAATGGTTCCATTCTGCTCACGCTCATATAGCCTAATATTTATGCTCAAACTTCTATAAATGAAAACCAGATGCGGTCACTTATGTTTTATTGCTAACATCAAAGAATCAGATTTGCATAAGGGAATCATGAGCTGTGATTCGGAGCAGGTACCGCCACGTCTTAAAATAGAGTCAGTTCTGTGAAAGTCAGAATAGTCCCCCATGTCCCTCAAATTGATAAGTATTGGAATTTATTTCACCTTTGAAACTTCTTTATCAAGCAATATGTAATTATAGAACAATCAGTGCCTTATAAGCAAATACAGTAAAC